TGAAAAGAGGCCAGTTAGCCCATCATGATGAATTCATCAGGAATTAATCATGATAGTTTCCAGGGAGAACCGCGTGGAGGTCGACCTGGTTGGGTGTATTGCTAGCAATGGGATTCTCAGTCTCCATTACTAACAATCCTTTTCCCCCCCTCTATCCCGTACTAAAGCCATTGTTTTAATACTTTCCGCTGAACAAGGACAGGAATCCTCTGTTTTCTTAAGAAGACTTACGAAATTGTGGGCATAGAGAATACCCTAACTTCTTTTTGATAATAGAAGCTCAGGGGCAGGAGTTCTCTTTTAATTGAGTCAAAAGAAAGCACTAGCATCTGCCTGAAGACAGATATCTTTTATTTACCGGTCACGTCACCCTCAATCCCTAGAACGATTCCTGCGGGTCTTTCTCGAGCTGCTTCTTCTACCACACCAGGGGAGTGTCTTTTAGCAGGTAGTGATAGTTTAACGTCTTTAGTTTATAATTTTTGGTAATTATTCAAGGTGTTCCTGATTTTCATGACAGCTGGTGTAGGGCTCTCTCATCCAAATTTTTAAAAGGTTTCAATATATGTATATTATAATATCACATAGATACGTAAATATAAAAATCAACTTGCTAATGGTTAAATATAGACATGTCTGCGGTATATGTTTGCATTAAATATTGACCGACATGAGTGATTTAATTAAACATAATTATTTTCATTTGTCTGTTTAGACAGAACATAAAAATGGAATATGAATGATCTTCGTGCTATAAAATATAACACAATATTCACTCAATCTTTAAATTTTCATAACCGCGTCGCGTATCAAGCTGACCTGAGCTATATTATTTTGCTAATACCGAGCATTAAGGCGAGGTTGGTTTTTGCACGGGGTTTTGGAGTCGCATTACTTACAGAAAGAAATTGTACATTTCCGCGCGTGTTCCGCGGCTCTGCACTAATTCCGCGATGATTAGACCGGATTCAAACGCGCGACCATCAAACTTTACGACTGTGCGAACAGTCGACGTACAAGAGACGGCTTTTTGATGTTTTAGCTTAAAACAACTAGAATGTTCTTATGTTTTTATTTGTATTTACATTTTATTTTACGAGGTGAAATATATATATATATATATATATATATATATATATATATATATATATATATATATATGATTACGTTATTTTTAGTAATAATATATGGTGTTTTAATATAATAACTACTGGTTTATCTTTCGTGTAATTTGGTCGAGAATGCTTGACTAGTTTCGGGATCATTAGGGACCTTTAATCTTGAGTGGCTAGGACCCGAGCCCGAGCTTGACTGCGCGCTTCAGCCCATTTAACGCGAGCTTAATTTTCTGTGTACTTACAAAAGTTTTAACGATAAAATATAAGATGTATTTCGAAGTTGAATTAAATTATGATTTCATCATTTCATCATCATCATCATATCAGCTTTTAACTGCCCACTGCCGAACATAAGCCTTCCCCTTGGGGGGTTTTGCCAGTAGTTGCCACGCTTAGCAGGCGGATTGGCAACCGCAGTTAGGCTTTGGAGATGCTGCTGTCCATCCTTCGCCCTCCCTTAGTCGCCTCTTACGACACCCACGGAAAGAAAGAGGTGGCCTATTCTATGCCGGGATCACATGGGATATTATGATTTATATACAATTAATAACTAAAATGATAGAAATATCTTAGCCATTTATCGTCTCCTATAAATATACGAGTATATACTTTTTATATTATTACATGTGTCACATCTCCATATTTAGATATAATAGAATTTTCATCGTGCCTCCGATCAAATTGTTTATAATTACTCCTCTCCATCCAAAGGTTGCCTGGAAGAGATCGCTCTTAGCGATAAGGTCGCCCATTGTTTTCTCATTGTGATTATTTCTTGTAATTGTTTATATTTATAATAAGTTTACTATTGTAATCTTTTGGAGGAAACAATAAGGAGTATCTACATATATACACAGGCACAGACTCTGTCTACCTTGCTATATCTAATCTCGTGATTAATACTTAATGAATTCGTTACGATGGGTCAACTGACATGCTTTTATCCTTATCTGTCATCCCTCACTGCCCACCTACGTATATTGGTAGCGTGGGCGGACTCACCATTCCAATTTCATTCGTTTAAAAGGTTTTAAGGTAAAAGGCAAAATTACTTGTAACACGTTTGAGATTGTTTCTCCACCGAATTGGGCTTCACCTACAGTGGTGGAAACTCCAGATATTTGAATGAATGAATGAATTTGGTATATGATTTGAATGTGACTGTAAAGTTGTATAATAAATTGAATTATTGTACCAGAGGGAAACTTTGTACAAAAGTCGTTTGCTTGGGTACCTCTGTCCAATTCGTGTTTCAACCGTAAAGCAGTGTTTGCATGGCTGTGTTTCAGTTGGAAGGGCGTTGGATATGGCGTGAATTTACTGGGTACAGAGGAATAACATCTGAGCCCTCAGAAACGGCAACGCATAGGGGTATCATGGGCGAAACAGTATACTCTGTTATGTCCATGGTAGTGCTCATGTTTATAGGCCACGGTTACCACTTTCCATCAGGTGGGCCGTCAGCTTGTTTGCCATTCTAAGTTGTATAAAAAAAAATAATAAAATGAAGTTGCATTGTACGAAATACATATTTGGACGCGTCTGTTGTTAGGCGACGGCCCTCGTGGCGCCTCGTGTCGCGGGCAGTCGCTCTCAGCCTCACTTGAGTCGTTCGAAACTTGCGCACCGCGCCGCCCGGCCTCGAGTGCGGCGCGCCGCGTGCCTCTGATGCTGCACTCGAGGGCCCGACAACTCCCGCTTAACTTTTCTATTGTCTTACATCTGATCTCTGTCTTATTATATCAACAGTAAATTTCTTAAAAATGATTTTCCAGTAATATGTATCAAATTTTTTAAGTTTTATGTTTCGTTTTATCTCGAAGGTAACAAACAAGCATACAGCCCGTCTGATGATAAAGTTACTGTAGTCTGTGGATGTCTGCAACAGTAGAGGTATCATGCGCGTGTTGCCGACCTTAAAGAAATCCGAACCCCATACTGTAGTGTCTAGGGAAAACCTCGGCAGAGAGCTCATTCCACAGGTTGATCGTTTGTGGAACAAAACTGAAATCGCACTGCACTCGACTATTTAGGTTCTAGCGGGTGAAAAATTTATTTAAATGAAATACATTTTATTCGGTAAAAAAGAGAGTTCAATCGTAAACACACACATACTACATGCGTGTGTGTGTGTCGCACGTATGCACGGACGCGTACTCACACACACGATGTGGACGAGACGTTTCAATGTAGTTTTGCGCATTTAAAAATATTTGAATATAGAACATATTTAATTGAATTCCCAGATGAACTATTTAATGTTTATAGCTATTGAATTCACATCGATTTTCAACCGATTTCAAAAAGAAGTTAGCTTTTAATTCAGTTGTACGTTTTTTTTTCAATATTTGTTATCTCAACTCCGTTAGTTAGAGGGGAAAGGGATTGTTAGTAATGCGGACTATCGGTCCTATTGCTGGTGGTGCCCCCTGAAAACAATCGTGCTGAATTCCAGGTGTATTCATCACGATGAGTTGACCTGCCTTTACATTCTCACCAATTATCCCTCACTGGTGCCCCGCCAGCGTATACCGATAGCGCGGGCGGGGTTACTATTCAGTTATCATCCATTAAAAAAATCTTCAGTTATAAACGATTTGGAACATTTGCTTTTGTCTGAAACGATATAGTTACAGATTGGTGGGTACCATAGAAATTATATCAAAGGTTTAGTAGTTTAATTTTTATAACAAAATATTAACCATGTATAGGGGGTATCATGGGCGAAACAGTATACTCTGTTATGTCCATGGTACTGCTCATGTCTATAGGCAACGGTTACCACTTTCCATCAGGTGGGCCTTCAGCTTGTTTGCCATTCTAAGTTGTATAAAAAAAAAAAACTTGTATTGCATCAATTGGATTTGTTTTTTTTTTATAGAAGACAATCTTATCAAACGAATATTAAAATATTTCTATATATTTGCCAATAATATCCACCAGAATATGTATTTGAAAATATTTATATACATATATAGTTACGTATTGCATTTTACTTACATTTTAACAGGTAAGCAAATTTGTGTGTCCCAATTTTAGACTGAATGGAACACGTCGAATATCATTTGAAATTTAAAATTATCTTTATATTTCACTAATTATGTACCCCAGCTTTGGCTGCGTAAATTAGGATAAAGAATATTCTACCTTTATGTTGATCTAAGATGTGATCTATTTGTGTGCAGATTGTTTACGATAACATGGCACGCCCCTCCAAAAACCAAAGAGTTAGAAATGTGTAAGTGAAAAGGCTTCGACCAAGCAATATACTCCTCTGGCTGAATTGTTAATGAAAATGTTTCCTTATAAACACAAACACAAACAGAGAGCCACGTCTGTATATGGTTGCACACATTGAAATAAAAAAGTTGCAGGGGCGTGCCATGTTATTGTAGACAATCTATATAAAAATTTATTGAAATCTCTCAGCAAAGTTCCAGATATCTACATTCAAATCTCATAACTTTCACACTTAGAACATTACCAAGTAGGTAGATAGAATTCCAATGGTACACTAATAGAAATTTCTATTCTTAATTGGATCATAGCATCTGTTATTTGGAAGTTGTTTGGAGCTCGTGAACTGTGTATAGCAGCCTTTCCCAAAGTGGGCGATAACGCCCTTTTGTGGGCGCTGCAGGCCTAAAGGGTGGTAAGAGACCCGGAAAAAAAATGGGGGTGTTGTGTAGAGGCTTGGTGATTTGTTGACCTTGATGTAATAGTAGTTTTTAAGTGGGTGAAAAAATGGGGGCGCTAAAAAATAAGTTATTCTCAAAGTGGGCAGTAGACAAAATAAGTTTGGGAACCCCTGGTGTATAGTATCTTCAGTGCTCCGCGCCGCGCCGCTCCGCAACGCGGGGGGACTTAGTAAAACAATCAATGTACTTCCAAGACAACCTTTATTCTCGTCCAAAATAATTATGTCAACAGTAGGGCGAACTCTTTGAGTTGTTTTAAACTTTATAATAACAAATCACCTCTTATACTTACAAATTAAATTACCTAGTTTAATAAATATCTACAAGTTCACAAATTCAGTCTGTTCATAACTCAAACTGAGAAACGAATCGTTTATTAATCGGCGATGACGTGCTCGGCTGCGCGGCGCCTCACTGCATCACGCGCCGTGATATGCAGGTCCGATGCTCGCTCCGACTATATACACCGACTTGTTTTAATTTAGCAAAACAATCCCGTGGCTTTGCACGCATGAATTACGGTGATGGGTTGACAATAATTATGGTAGATCTGTTCGTGGAAATTTCATTCAAATCCGTTCAGCCGTTAAGCGTGATCGAGTAAATTACTATATTGCACGTTAATTGAGATAAAAATACCATACATTTTTAATAATGTGTTCATTTTTAGCTAAAAATAACCAAAAATAATTTATATTTTTATTTTATATGTTTGTTACTTACGTCATTATAATAAAACGGGCGAATGGATTTCAGCGTAATTTTATAACTGAGTAGGTGTTAGTCCAATTGAAAGATTGGTTGGTGTAAACAGAATCGGTCGAGTCCATCATAAAACAAATTCGTACAATCGAGAGATCCTTTATAAGAAGTCGCTTACAATGTCGACATCTCTACTGAATAGATTACTCCTATTTTAACTTGGAAAAAAAATAGTACAATCTTGAAGAATGGATGGATATAAAATACATGGTAAAACTGACCCATAAGTTTTCTAATGGGCACTTCCGTGATAAAGCCTTGGAAAGTAGCTAGTTTTAAAACAAGTCGGTATATATGTAAAAGCGTCAATCGTTGTTTGCTCTCACATATTGATATGATACAAATACTGATATCTTTAGGATATGTGACGTTTCAAGAGATCACTGTATTGCTCAGGTTGCGCTCTGTCACGCGTCTCGTGCCTAGAAATAAAAACTGAGCGGCCATACAAAAATAAACATTAAATAATTACACTTTAAGAGTGAATGTCATTCGAAATTAAACACACGCATACCATAAATACACAGATTATTTACAAGGACATCATGGCCGCTCTTTGTCACTAGTCTTTGTATGTAGCAGAAGTCGAAGTCGAGTTTATATGTTATATGGTATGAAAACATAAATAGATATATAAAAACTATAGATTTGGGTCTCATACAATAGTTTAATTAAAACATATCTCGAATAAAATATAATTTTCTTGGACAGAACATGAGTAGATCAGAATGAAACCACACTTTTACATTTTTAAGAAAATTTCGCCGCATTTGACTAAAAACGTCATTGGTTGGTATTTTAGGATTTTTCATAGTTCTAATTGTGTGATTTATACCATTCCATATACCAGTGCATTATTTAACGTATCTTTTCTATCACAGGGAGGCGACTTCGAGCTTTATTTTCAATTCTCGTGTAACAAATATTCGTGTCCAGCCCCACCTGGCTGTATTAATAACGTATCGCGCTTTGTTCTCCTGCGATGAAAACAAGTGGTGACACATTGCATTAATTCACACTGTGTGACCACACGGAAAACACGAAGTTTAGTTACAGTTAATACTAACCTGCAGTTGAACACGGGCGTTAAACTAAACAAACTGCGCCAAGTAACTACACTCCAACAAACCGCAATTAAACAGAGACTACTAGTACGTAGAGAGGGTGTGTATCAATTAATTCTAGCCGGCCACTCGCTCAGAAGCGACTCGATCCAGTTAGCAAGTTACAGGTGTTGCCGGAAACTAGCCGCTTGTTGTTAGCTCCGGCCGTGTAACCGAATCGCTTTTGATTGTCTCAAGTTTTACGCTGGAGCTACAGCTGCGTTTGTCCACACAGGCTTGATAGCCACCACGAAACCAACCTTTATAGATTATTATTATATTATTCAGGTGGAAATTTATGCCATTAATATCATTTAGAGAAAATATTCGACTGGCAAAAGTTTTTCTTGAAGGATCATGGGAAGAAAAAATATTTACAATTTTGAGCCTATTATAGTAACTTAGAACGTGTTGGTTGGTATGGGAGTTTTTTTTAGAGGTAGTTTGTTTTGGAAAATATTCATTATCCTCAGTTGAAAACTCCTTTAAATGGATGCAAATTTTTCTCAAGTTCGCTCTGCGATAAATAATGTTTTTTTTTTTCTTTTAATTGTAACAATAAAAATTGATTAAACTAATGTAAAAGCATTTATTTGTAGCATTAAGTTTTAGAACACTAAGTGTCAGCAATCGGCCAAATTAAAATGTCTAGAAATTACGTGAGAGAATCCTAAACGACGGCGCATTTGCAGCAAACTACAAAACCGCTATTGCACTCGTGTGACGTGTCACATTAGCACGATAAGGTTTTAGCGAATAAATATACGAAATTCTTCGTAAAATTCGCAGGCGGGAGTCAAGCATTATGTATGCTCTGTTGAAATCGTAACAAGAGAAATTGGATCTTATCGATATACACACAAGATTCTTATCGAATCAACATATCTCGACTTCGACTGCTAGTTCCAATACTTCATTCACCCATCATCCCTTAAGCCGATTTTAAACCTTAAGAATCAAGTACAAACATTATTTACATAAATTTATCCGATTTATACAGATAACGATAAATCCATTTAACTATTGATTTAATCATTAACTGGTAAATTGTTAGCTAGAGCTTCGTAGACATGTAAAAAAGTGGCAAAGAGTCAGTCGCTTACTCGCTACTATGTACATCACAGAATTTGTTAAAAACAAAACGAAAGATACAGTAGTCCGACCTCAGAGACGCGCGCAAAGAATGCCCAATGTTACACGGACAGTGAATTACATTATTCTATGTTAGTTCACAAATTATTGTCACATGGCTTTTTGACTATTGTAGAGTATATGTTAAAGTAGGTCACTGCATTAATACTGTAATTAAAAATATTATTTCCTACAGCAAAACAAGTAGGGTGTGCAAGTGTGTACATGCTTCCTCTACGAGTAACGAAGCATCCTTTATAATTCATACATAAATGAAATTGGATATTCCTTGCGCGCTTGTAATAATCGTTGAAATAGTATAGTTCCGTGTGATGGACACTACACTGGAAACATTCTACCTAACTACAACATTTACATAGGACAATTTCGCCAGAAATGTACAACGAAATGATGCCGCCGCGGCCGCGTTGCATCCTCACACGTCGCGCGCGACGCTTATAGTCCTACGGTGGCCACATCGCTCCCGGAATTTATAATCATAACGTAAGGTTTTCACGGAGTCAACAGTCAGTTCCCGAACTGATTAAATTTATAATCGATAAAGACAAGAATTACCTTTGATAATCGAGAGCGAATCCTTAGGTTTCGATTAGATTTCCGCTGTACAAAAATGATTCAACGTTCTTCTAGAACTGTCTTCTCGCCGCAGGGAATACGGATGCAAACGTCAGCCGGGCGGCAAAAATGGCGGCGCTTAGGACTAGTTACGAGAGAGAGGGAACTAAACGCATGACTCCGGGATCCGATGGTCTAGAAGTTTCTCCTTGATGGCGTCGACGTTGAGGTCGGCGGGCGCGGGCGCGCGCAGCGTGGCGGACGCGCTGCGGCCGAGCGCGCCCGTCGTGCCCGCCGCCGCACCCGCTGCACCCGCCGCCGCCTCGCGCGGCCGCGTGCTCCACGTCCACGATGCCCCGGGGCCGTTGCACGCCTGAAAACACACTGTCACTGTTACTATTTGTCAATGACTCCCAAAGCTAATAGTAGTGTGGCGATTTGTCGCTCGTTGTAGAGACAGGTCGATTTGTGGGAAGATTCGATACTTTCTTCGGTGTGTAGTTGGTGTGTAGTGAGATGTTTTAAATGTTATTAGAAATCGAATTTATTAAAAAAATTACTACAATATTAGTTTAATACAACATCACAATTCACCGACAAAATATGACCACCCTTTTTTACACGGCCCACGGTCTTTAAACAAAGCTTCAGGGGTTCTGAATAGCGAATGAGTTTTAATTATAATGGGATACATATTCGGCCTATAAACCTTTAACAAACTTGCGGGTAGGTACATCTGAGTCTGCGTACAATCTGAATATCAGTTGACCGACTGCCGTGAGAGCAAATTAATGAGTTAATCGAGCAACATAGACAAAGCTCGCCCGTGCGTTGTTTTAACGACTTCCTGGCAGCGAAACGTAGGTATATGGAGAATAGCGCGCGCGAGCGTCCATCCAATCAACGCAGCATAATTAGGGCGCAGCGCCTCTGCGGCGCATTATATTACATTAGCCGCACTGTAATCACGGCTATCGCTCGACACATCTCCGTCGAATTAGCCGCGCCATTGTCGCACCCTGATAACGCTAAATTAAAACTAATTCAAAACGGCGACGCGCGCTAAAGGGGTGCGAATGACGCAGCCGGCGGAGTAAAGGTGATGCGACAAAAGAATCGGCTGATAAAACTATCGCGAGACTTAATTAAAACGTCCCCTTATTAGCCGGCGGAGGCGTGCCCTCCGCACAATGGGACCTCCGCTACAGTTATATAGCTAATCAGGTAAGAAAAGTGGATTTATTGCGCGGTACTGGGGTGGCGTATTTAACAATCGTTGTTCTTCTTATTCATTAGCTACTAGATGCTGCAGATTAGGGGTGAATAGACTCGACCTGTATTAATAAATAACATCGTTAAACAAATTCCACAGTCGTACCCGTATTACTGTATGGTTCCGATAGCTGGATGTGGATTATGTAAGAAAGATAATAAAAGTGAATTAAATATATGGTCGAAATGCGGACATTTTATAAAGTGGTACTCCAAGAGCCTAATTCATAATGAATGGATAGATTGGGATCTAGGAAGGAGCCAAAAGTCTCCAGAGCCAAGGTGTAATAAGACAAGAGATTAAGTAGACGAAATAAAAGCATCTGATAATATATTGTTTCTTGTCTACCGCGTAAAGAACTTAGTATAAAGGATAATAGGCCATTCAACAAATAGCAAAGCGTATTTTACAGTAGGGCAGGGGAGATTGTGGTGATGTGCGGACATCAGCTTAGTTTTTTCAACCGAGGCCCATCCTCATGTCATGCGTGACAAACGAACTGGGGCGGTGCGTGCCGCTGTCATTACGTCACTCAGTGTAACCCTATTCCCCACCTCGAATTTCATTATATGTAAAATTAATAAGCTTATACTACTAACAAGTGTGTATAATATCCAAGAGAAATCTTACATAGGAATGAAGTGGAACATATTATAGAGACAGAATCTAAAAGAACTAAAGAAATATTCGAGGAACAGATGCATTTTAGAGTCTCGATGCGTGATCTAGCGAACAATAAAATACGCCTCGCGTGAAAAATTGGTTTTTACCAGCTCGTGTTCACTCGAAAATTGGACGCACAAATCAAGTAGATGTCTTATTTGCAGTTCACAGCTTGGCCATTGGATATCCTAAAATAATTCAGCATGCAAATCGTATTGACTGGTATTAGTACCTCATAAATATAGTCGTATATGGTTATAAGGTTGTTTTAAGAATATCATCAATTTAAATTACCAACATGAGTGAAATCGATCTGTAAAATTTGTCACTTTAGCAATAAAAGTCTGTTCCATTTTCTAATAATTATTACAATTTTATTTTTACGTAACCATCGATTAATAAATTGCGTGGCCAATATGTAAATTATAAAATCCCAAGCTCCGAACGCAACGTCTCGATGATGTTTCGTTTGAACAACGACGCGATTAACATGAACGGTTACCAGTTTAGATTTGCTGACGAGTCGCCATTAAAATTCAACTCATTCGTTACTTTATCGGTCCGTAACTCAGTTTAATGAACTTTCGTGTTTCTATTTGATGAGGAGTCCTCCAAGTAATTCCGTCGAGAAGTTTTCATGCAAATACGATAAAGTTTGATGTCAGAAGATGTTGAAATATTTTAATCTTCACAGGAAGCGGTTCGCCGCGGTAGATACTTTAAATCAGCCGCGCCACGCGATATCGCAACTTATTCGGCGCTCGGGGTGCCACCTAGTGGCGCCGCGGTGGCAACTCGCCGACTAACTTGGTGTGCGTGCTGTAACACGGCTGGTGAATGGTTTGGTGCACGTGCGTTTGAGGACAGCAAATTAATCAAAACAAACTTTCTTTATCTTCTACGATAGTAGGTATATTGTTTCTTGTAACTCGAATATAATTTATTGTTTACAGTTGGCAGTGTTGTTGTCCAAATTGTATTGGCTGCAATACGCAACAACTAGGTGTATTAAAACGGAGTTGTTTCATTTTACAGGGGTTAATCTCTACAACTTAGAGTGGCAAAGAACCGACCACCTGATGAACAGTGGCAACCGTTCATTGTAAACATGAACAGTAATAGAACACAATGTGATACACATGGTATTCCTTATACGTTTTTATTTTTGTGGACTAAGATGTTGAATGTTGTACCAATGCTTTGCAACATTAAACATTAAGTAAATCCTGAACCTTTCAACCTTATTACATTAAGTTTGGTCCATCTTCTACATTAAGATTTGGTTTTGACATTACAATGTTGGTCGATCATATTACGACTCCAATTTTTTGAATTCTGTAATTGGCTTCGATATAATTCTTCTTTAGTAGATAACAAATAAAAAAGCCTGAGACTTGAGGGCTCATCGTGTATAACATAAATGCATAGAAGAAACCTTGTCAGTTCGTCAATCGCAGATGCGAAGCGTCGCACGACAAGTGTACGCGGCGCGGCGGCGCGACGGCGCGGCTGTGTCCCGCGGGAGCGCCGCCGACAATCATAAAGAGATATGATCCTGTATCTGTGATGGCACATAAACCGGCCAGTTATTGAGATCGACCGTCGTAAAGATAGCAGCGCGAGTGACCACCGCGCCCTCGCCCGCTCCACTTATTACAAAACTCACTGACTCGTCGATCGTTCACATAAAATAAACGACTGCCAACTTTGAGTAGATAAAATCGCGCTAAGTCGCGGTCCGTCTCCGACACTTGTGAAGTTTATGTGACACGAGGCAGTTTTTATGATCGGCATGTCTTTGAGATCCAAAAATGTAATAGACGGCCCTTGGTGTATATTCTTTATCGGCGGAAAACAGCGATATTGAGACGACTATTAAATAGTTTAGTGATCCGGTACAGTTAACGGTTAGGTACTTTATATGATATCTTTATAGCGGGCCCCTTACAGTGTAGGCGGAGAGGAATCAGTATCGTGGATTATATATAATTTTATTTCATAACTATTCGAAAATCGGTTAGAACTCAACGACGAGTTTCAAAAGTGGTTTAAGCCAAAAATATATGTAAGTAGACATTTGCGCTCGTGTCTTTGTGCTTATCTCGCAAGAGGCTAGGCATGAAGACAAAAGCATAGAATTATTATGATCCGAAATCACGCGGGCATAGCCGCAGCTTACAACTTAGGTAAGTTATAATAATATATGTAGTTAAAATACCATTTGAGTTAGGGGCAACACGGCGGGGCTGGGGCTTGACGGGGCGCTCACTACACGCTGATGCTTTTAGGAGATGAGAATGCGATCCGATTGATGGGCGTGTGTCGTGTGTAATGGCCGATCGAGCCACAAATGGATTGCCGTTTTGTTTATTGACTGCTGCGCGCAGGAACCGCGACCGACACCATTCGCTTATCGTCGCATGAATCGCATCATACGAGTACGCTGCGTTCTCATGATGGACGAAAATTAAATGTTCAAACAACATTTATATTAAATAGTAACAAAGGACTAAAAGCACACATTGTGTTCGAAACGTACCTACTTCTATATCCTGTACATTTTAGCAAATATTGTATTAATAGAGACCGTCTTTAGACACAAAGAGTACACAACAAGAGTTCGAGCAGACAAAATCTAGAAGACAGATTCAGCTAGACGACGTTATAAATTGGAGGAGTGTGGAAGAAAAATTATGCGTTTGTTTGGTATCTCAACGTAATGCGCTCGTTGCAAATGTTACGTTAGAACTTCAACTACCTACTATAGAAAAAAATCTTTGGAATTCTTTAATGACCTTTTTACAGTATTTTATAAAGCACGTAGAAAACACTTTTTATTTAAAATTTAATAGTGGAGTAGTTTCTATTGTAAAGCAGAGCAGGAATCTGAAGCGTATTAACCTTAATATGCGTTAATATATTGGTCATATGTCATTATCATATCAATCTTTTACTGTCCACTGCTGAACACAAGCCTCTCCCCTTGGGGAGTTATGCTAATTGTTGCCACGCTTGGCAGTCAGATTGGAGATGTTTTAACGTGGACGCTGCTGCCCATCTCAAGCCCTTCCTTAGTCGGCTTTTACGACACCCACGGGATAGGAAAGGATGGCCTATTCTATGCTCGGACCACACGGCAATCTGCAAGCTGCACGGCAAACTGGTGATACGTAATAAGTAATTGAAAAGCTTGGGCCTTTTATCGCACATTTGTGTGGTGCAATTGTATAACGCTACTAGGTATAAAATTATTATTATATTCTGAAAATATCAATAATATTGTTGACTAGAATCAAGCTCGTGACCTTCGTTAGTACTTGTAATATTTACTCATGACATTATTCATTATTAGAAAGAATTTCGATTTATGTGTGAATACATTCAATTATAAATGTGGGTTTGTTTATTTGATATTGACTACACATTAAGTAATTCAAAAAATAGTAGAGAAAGAAAATGCCTACCGGAGTAGTGAGAGGCGCGGGCGCGGTCCGCCCCGGCGAGGACACTGTTAAACTAGGTGCACTCGTCGCTTCACCTGCAAAATAAACATTGTCATTAATATCAATTAAGCATAAATCTGGCCGCCGACCCAACAGTTAGTTGTCCTTTGAAATATTTTAAGTAATTGGAGCAGCGTGGCCGCGTCGTGTGCAGCCCGCCGCCCGCCGCCCGCCGCCCGCCGTGTAAGCTCTATACACCGCGGTGTCGATGACAGAGCAGTTTTCCCATCCACGACCCCGATACCCTCGATTAGCTATTGAAATATCCGGCACTAGTAGGTACAATAGGTTTAATACCATAAGTACATAGAAAAGAAACAGGGGTTCCTATGGGTGACCGCTGCGAAAGCTGAGCTATTTAATATAAACAAACTTTAAAGTCAAGGTTCACAGTAGTATACAGAGAAGACGTTACCATATATGAAATATTGACACAGAAGGGAAACTCCTTTGATGTGTTTCCAGAGTGTAGTGGACGTCACAAGAAAATTAAATAAATTAAACAAAAATATATTATATTTTATATTAACCAAATTATAGTTTACCTTTTTCTCATCAGGTGTAAAAAGGATGTATATAACACAGTTTAATAAGGTTTATGAGAGCCTTTAAAGTTTTATAAATTCGATAATCAATTTAATAGAAAATACCAAAATACGTTAACATATAATTAAATTGAATTTAAAGAAAAGTTCAGTTCGAATAATAGGCTAAATCCGATTATTGAAATATCTACCCTTCGGTGACATAATCTATGACGTTACTAGGATAGAAAAAAAAAAAAAAAAAAAAAGGGCCGGCAGATCGGCGGGCGCGCGGGAGTCGCTTTGGGAAATGCGCAAAAAAAAAAAAAAAAAAAAAAAAAAAAAAATGGCGCGGGAGTCGTGTTTTAGGAACTGCGCAATAAAATAAAAAAGATAACTGGGATAGAGCTAGGAGTGACTGGATCTATGAAGGGGTTTAAGATCTTAGTGTATCACTATCGATTAAGTGTGTGAAAAGAGTCAATGGAAGACTGGAGAATCCGGTGAGCTTGTTCCATTTATTACTACGTAGTTAGATTTTTGACTGTGATCACAGGCAAAGTTTATACTTAATATTTTTCCCAACAACTATTAAAATACGTATTTAATCGAGTCCATATACCTTTAGGTAATGCGTATATAGTTAAATGCAATCACATTTGAACAAAGATCTACATCAATATAATTTACGTAATAATAATACATACTTACGTTATTCTACTCATATACAAAATTCAATTATATGGCTGTTTGATAGAAATTCATCGATTTGACTCAATATTCTAATTGTCCAGTTTTGGCAAATACTTATTGAATCAACTATAAAACTATTATAATACTAACTAAATTCATATCTAGTTACTATAAATTATTTATTTATTGAGGATAAATAGACTGAGGTGGCTGTGGTCTGGTCTCATTGCTGGGGAAACAACCATTGATGAGACAGAGGGGTTATTGAGTGGCGACTCTGTATATGCAAGTGTGGTGAGGGCTGCCTCCATTGGTTGGAGTGACTGTTTTATGTGTATTATGGGGACTCGGTGGGTGCAGGAGTTTGGGGCCGTTCCTATTGGCAGTCTATGGGGAATTGCCTGTGTTCAGTCGTGGATTGGTGATGGTTGAGACGATGATGATGATGGAATAGTTGTATTTATTACACTATTACAGTGTTGATTTGGAACACCTGCTCATGCTTAACGTCTCATGGTAAAGTGTTTTCATACCATTGCTCGGTCAACTGTACTAATGATTCTTTTGTATACTTTTAATTACCCATGATTACATGTGGGAATTTGTTTTACACCAGATGTACAGAGAAACAGCTTAGCTGTTGCAGGTGATTTTATGTGAATGTATTACTTTTAATACATTAATGTGTTAGTAGATAAATTCATGTAACGGTGGGATGTTTATGGTAAACAAGCCTGTATTGTTTAAATAGATATTTTGTCTTGATTTATTATAAACTTTAATATTGATTTTGTTGTAGTAAACAAGCTGATAATAACAATTCTGTGTGTATTACTGATTACTAATAATATTTAATTATGCTGATATTATAGGTGTGGATTTATTTCCTAATGGTAATAAAAGTACTAAAAGATTCTCTGACTATAGTTACTCTTAACTAGGTATGAGGTTCAGTATAAAATTGGTACTGTATGATACTTGTGAAGCTATGTATTTTACTCATATTTAGAAAGGAAGTTGTCCCGGCGATAAGGTTTGTATGTGTGTTGTTTGTTCATGTTATATAGACTAGACAAGTTCAGACAGGGTTAATATTAGTGAATATTTACTGGATTTATATTTAATATACATGTTTGGAATATTTTATGGGAATAGTATGGAGATATACAAGTAGTAAAATATAATATTAGTATTTTATAAATTTAATTATTGAGTTATATGTTTATGTCGGACTGTATCCAAGGAGATATTATCCTATTGATATCAAGTTAGGACAATTACTTTAAATATTAATAAAGCAAACACTAACACTGATTATTCACTTCTTTAATAAATTTACATTAGAGGTTAGGAATCAAATAGATAGCATATTGGGAAAATCTTCACCACACATGTATTTGAGGAATGTTCTTGATAATTAGTACTGTATGTATATATTATTGCAAGTACAATTGCAATAAGAATGTTAAACTTCTAATCTTCTGTTCATTCTTGAATTTGAAAGTAAGCTTGGCTACTGATATGAATATAAAACTGTAGCATTACTGGATACTATTAATTATTTCTGGTGTAAACCATGATTATTTATGTCACTGATAATTTAGTTGTATATTACGGTTGATATATGATGATTTTATATTTAGTTATATTAAACAAATACAAATAAACAAACTTGCTAGTATTTGTTACGTTGACAGTTGTGATAGATAATCAAAATTCAATTCAATACATCAATACGTCATTCAATACGTCATTAATGTGACAGATGTCAAACAAAAGGAGATTATACACGTTATGATTCTATATCTAAGTCTATAGAAAATTTATATAATTTTCTGTTATTTTATAATACCTGTAGGGGAAATATTGGAATTATTTATATGAGAAATTTCACTTAAAATGATATGATAATTATTTAAAGACCTAATTTCTTAGGGATTTAATCATGATGATTTAAACACTAAAACACTTGTTTATCTGAGAAATCCTCTTAGTAAATAGGTTTACTAAGACACTAAATGGAAGTAGATATAGTATAACTATAGTACAGCTACAATAATTGTATGGGACTTACTGTCCTTTCTATACAAATATATATTTAATCTATATCTTTCACATTATAATTATGCAATATATTGCCTCTACTACTACAACATACACAAATAGGACTTATTGTCCTTCCTATATACCTATATATAATAATTGACCTGGCACTTTAATGTGTAATTTATCAGTATTTATGACAACAACCAATTAGGACTTATAGTCCTCTCTATAAAGCTACATAATTATTTAATCTGATTATTTCACAATGTGATTAATCAAACCTCTACAAATATTACAAAAAAATCTCTATTACTCTCAACACAATAATAGCTTGTTGGACTTAGTGTCCTCAAACTTATAGAAAACCCAACTGGTTATTTCACGAGACGTTGTTAACTTGTGATTAATCAGTGTCTTTTAAAGGACTTATAGTTCCTTTAGATATATCTCTCTGAATAAATAATTGGTTAATTCACAATGTGGTTAATCAACAATAATATTATATATAATTAACTGGACTTATAGTTCATTCAATAGCACTCATTACTTTTAGTAGCTCTCGACCTATGTGTTGGACTACTCGTTCTTAGGCTCCGGCCTAATCAACAGATTTAACTTGAACCTTGAGTATTCTTGGTATTAAGTAAATAATATTAAATTGACAATGCTATGTTATGATATAGCAATTATCAACATTATATGGCTTGGCCAATTCCAGGGTGTGGAAGGTATCCCCTATCACACAAATCTTCATCTCTATCGGACTGTCTTCACAGGTGATCTCTAATGTCACATTATAGGGCCGAAGGGTTATGTCCCAACAAAGTAAGTTCTGGTGTCTGGGTGATCTCGCTTCTTGGTCTGATCTCTTGTGGAGCCGAAGGGAAACCCCCATTGAGTAAGCTCGTAACAGGGTGACGCTGGGAAACAGTTTCGTACTGTTAGTGGGTGATCTCTATGTCGCCATATAGGACTGAAAGGGTCATCGCCCATGAGTAAGCTCTCGTGTCGGAGTGATCCTGGGATTTCAGTTCCGATCCGTTTGCCTCTGGCAAGCACTAATTTATACTGGAAGCATCGTGGGGCTGGTGGAGCCACTGTAATGTTGAAGTAAATGTACTTATGTTTGGTTTGGAACTGAGAATACTCATTCCCTTATTACCATCAGAGTGCATTAATAAATAGTAATACCCTTCCCTACCTTTTTGGAGGAAGAGTTATAGATAGTTGGAAAGTCTTCCACTGGTCCGGGCGTGTGAGGGGCCCGACCGCTCCCCCATTTTTTTATTATTACAGTTATTCTGTAATTTACTATTAAATTAACATAACTTCCTAGTTACATGAATTATGAGTATAATTCATTAATTATTCTTAATCCTTAAAGATTTATCAATCATCTTTATTATTTAACTCCTATCATATACCAATTAAAGAACCTTTTGGTTATTACACACACAACGGGTCCTACATTACTAGACGATCACACATTTATTTATCTGGCCAGATGATCAAGTGTTCTACTATAAGATCTGTTCAATATTAAGTGTTTATTGTAAGGGTTTATATGATTCATAGGATGTTTGGGGTGTATAAGGCAATATAGGTATGGGATTATATTGAGGATGTTAGGTCATTCTTTAGGGTAGGTTTTCATTAGATTTTCATGGGATTTCATTAGGTAAAGCCTTCGTAGGCTTTTCTTAGGCTTTGTAGGTTTTCCATGTGTAGGTTAGTTTAGAGGGTTATTATTATAAGGGGTGCACAAAGGGGGGACCATCACAATTGGTGCCGTAGTGACCAGGATTTAATTGGTTCATGGCTATTTACACATATCAGATCAATAAGAGCACTTGGTCACAATTGGAGCTTGTGACTTCAGGGATTGGTTATTAAAAAATGAAGGAGTATAAAGTTAAACAGTAATATCTGCTAATAGTATAACTCAAAACCAACTTTGATGATTATGACTAAATAATTATACCGTCATAGATCTAGGATTTGGACCTAATTTCATGATCTCTATGTCTATAGGTAAATAGCCTATTTTACTGTTATTTTATGTTATTAGGATTTAATTTATCAAATTCATTCAATCGTTACCTATTGAAGTCAATTGTACAACAAATTACATAATTTGGTTTTTTTTTTCTCATTTACTCTATATCAGTTGAATAAATTATATTAAGAACTACACTAATAGGTACATAACAATAGCAGCAAAGATAGCTTGCTACGTTATACTCAGTTCACACTGATCTAATTTTATGCTATAGGACACATTTATTATTCTTTTGCTTCATTAATTCTCAATTGTTACTGAACTATTAATTTAACATTATATTAATTTTATAAACAATAATTATGCTATAATGACTTATACATAAAATTTATTAATCTCATTTTATTATTAAAGAAATAAATTAAGATGAATTAATGACATTATTTATTTCTGAGGAAATATCCAATTGATTTTTATTTCATAAACTTTTATGATGCAGTGACATTGATTTTATATATATATAAAAAAAATCAAATATTATATAATTATGATTTGATTTTAATTTAGGATGTTTAAATAGCTTATACAATGTTTTATAGGGGTTTCAAATTGAAAGTTAGACGTTTCATAAAAGATCATTAAGGTTAGTTAGGGCCTTTAGTTACTTTATTTGATTACCTAAATTTGAAAATTTAATTAGGTATTTTCATATTGTTAAATTTAATTCCAACAATTTATTAGGATGCTATTATAAATATTTTATTTAGTTTTCTTCACATAATTTCTTTATTTCACTTTACAATTATAGTTCAGATTTTATTTGATTATTTACTTATTTTGACTTAGACACTTTATTATATAAAAAAAAAAACCCCTTATACTTATATCAGAGGGAGATTTTGTAGGTTATTTATTCAAGTACACTCTTTACATGCCTAAGTATTTTACATACTTAGATTTTGCGCACACTTAGTTATTTAGTTCTTTGTAGTTGCACATAACACAAGACATCTGTATCTTTTGAAATAATAATTTATTGTACAAAATAAATTAATTGATGTATCTAATATAGTTGGTTGTATTTATGTTGGGTTTGCTGTTGTGATCTTTTGGAGGAGGCGATGGGGGGTGTCTATCTACCTATCTAATGTGGTTACATAATATTTTATTATAAAACTTATTGATCATGTTATTTCTGAGAGTATTAAGAAATAGTCATTGGTAATTTAAGTATATTAAAGGAATTTCTTATAATAAGAGCTTTAAACTATGGGGCCGTTTGTATTATTTTATGCAACATATTTATAGGAGTCTTAAAATTGGGGGGCCGTGCAAAATTTGTCAGACAGATAAGAGTTTTAAACTATGGGGCCGTTTGTATTATTTTATGCAACATATTTATAGGAGTCTTAAAATTGGGGGGCCGTGCAAAATTTGTCAGACAGGGGGGCCGGTGGTGATAAATTATTATTTATATAAGCTTTACTTCTATGATTAAAATTAATAAATAAAAATTAAATTTATTTGAATTTTGTTAGGGACTATTATTTTTTTTATTCAATGAACACTAGGTTATTTCTTAGATGAAATATGTATTTGTGGTTACTTAGACGCTTCATAAAGTTTATTCGTATTGTTTAAATTTATTTTAACAAATTTAGTTGAACATCTTCATTTTAATATTTAATTAACTTGGGATTTTATCTAATCATTTATTTACACTTAGACAATTATTTTAGGATTCCTTTTTGCATTTATTACATTTTAATGCTTAAATTATTTCACTTCATTTCGCTTTAGGTTTCTACTTAGGCTCTCGTTTGTTGATTCGTTATACTCATACATTTAGGCTTTTATTATGAGCTTCCATTTAGATGTTTTAACTCGTATCTTTTAAATAGATACTTTATCTAAATTTACTGATACAAATAACGTATCTATTAGGTTCTTTACTTGAAGTTCTTCACATATTTAGATTTTATACATTTAGACTCCTCACATACTTAGGCTTTTCATACATTTAGGTTTTATAGACTCCTTTACACACATTTAGGATTGTATTCATTTATGCTGTTTATGACATTGTAATTACATGCATTGAATTTATTATATATAAATAAACGAGTATAAAAATTTTAATTATAAAATTTAATGGATTCACTCTATCATTACAGCGTATGCAAATTAATTATAAATAATTATTTACAAATCTATTCATAAATAAATATTATGCTTAATTATTAATATATTGAGTAGAAATTTTAAGGCTATTCATACACATAACATTCAACAACACATAACTTCGGGTTTAAAGATCTTTTAATACTTTTATTGTTTTGAGTTTTAAGAATGTCAAGAGTGTTAGGCTAGTATCGATGAATCAATGAAAAATTTAAATGATGATCTTAAGCTCTGTAAAGTTAAATTATATATACATATGTGAAGTACATTTTTAGGGTTGGAAAAAAAAATTGTAACAATAAACTTATCTTGTTGTAATTATCAATCCAGTAAACTCCTTGATAATTAGGGGGCCGGATGTGACGGTTCGCCTATAGTACAATAGGTTTAATACCATAAGTACATAGAAAAGAAACAGGGGTTCCTATGGGTGACCGCTGCGAAAGCTGAGCTATTTAATATAAACAAACTTTAAAGTCAAGGTTCACAGTAGTATACAGAGAAGACGTTACCATATATGAAATATTGACACAGAAGGGAAACTCCTTTGATGTGTTTCCAGAGTGTAGTGGACGTCACAAGAAAATTAAATAAATTAAACAAAAATATATTATATTTTATATTAACCAAATTATAGTTTACCTTTTTCTCATCAGGTGTAAAAAGGATGTATATAACACAGTTTAATAAGGTTTATGAGAGCCTTTAAAGTTTTATAAATTCGATAATCAATTTAATAGAAAATACCAAAATACGTTAACATATAATTAAATTGAATTTAAAGAAAAGTTCAGTTCGAATAATAGGCTAAATCCGATTATTGAAATATCTACCCTTCGGTGACATAATCTATGACGTTACTAGGATAGAAAAAAAAAAACAAAAAAAAGGGCCGGCAGATCGGCGGGCGCGCGGGAGTCGCTTTTTAGGAATTGCGCAGTAAAAAAAAAAAAAAAAAAAAAAAAGGGAAAATGGCGCGGGAGTCGTGTTTTAGGAACTGCGCAATAAAATAAAAAAGATAACTGGGATAGAGCTAGGAGTGACTGGATCTATGAAGGGGTTTAAGATCTTAGTGTATCACTATCGATTAAGTGTGTGAAAAGAGTCAATGGAAGACTGGAGAATCCGGTGAGCTTGTTCCATTTATTACTACGTAGTTAGATTTTTGACTGTGATCACAGGCAAAGTTTATACTTAATATTTTTCCCAACAACTATTAAAATACGTATTTAATCGAGTCCATATACCTTTAGGTAATGCGTATATAGTTAAATGCAATCACATTTGAACAAAGATCTACATCAATATAATTTACGTAATAATAATACATACTTACGTTATTCTACTCATATACAAAATTCAATTATATGGCTGTTTGATAGAAATTCATCGATTTGACTCAATATTCTAATTGTCCAGTTTTGGCAAATACTTATTGAATCAACTATAAAACTATTATAATACTAACTAAATTCATATCTAGTTACTATAAATTATTTATTTATTGAGGATAAATAGACTGAGGTGGCTGTGGTCTGGTCTCATTGCTGGGGAAACAACCATTGATGAGACAGAGGGGTTATTGAGTGGCGACTCTGTATATGCAAGTGTGGTGAGGGCTGCCTCCATTGGTTGGAGTGACTGTTTTATGTGTATTATGGGGACTCGGTGGGTGCAGGAGTTTGGGGCCGTTCCTATTGGCAGTCTATGGGGAATTGCCTGTGTTCAGTCGTGGATTGGTGATGGTTGAGACGATGATGATGATGGAATAGTTGTATTTATTACACTATTACAGTGTTGATTTGGAACACCTGCTCATGCTTAACGTCTCATGGTAAAGTGTTTTCATACCATTGCTCGGTCAACTGTACTAATGATTCTTTTGTATACTTTTAATTACCCATGATTACATGTGGGAATTTGTTTTACACCAGATGTACAGAGAAACAGCTTAGCTGTTGCAGGTGATTTTATGTGAATGTATTACTTTTAATACATTAATGTGTTAGTAGATAAATTCATGTAACGGTGGGATGTTTATGGTAAACAAGCCTGTATTGTTTAAATAGATATTTTGTCTTGATTTATTATAAACTTTAATATTGATTTTGTTGTAGTAAACAAGCTGATAATAACAATTCTGTGTGTATTACTGATTACTAATAATATTTAATTATGCTGATATTATAGGTGTGGATTTATTTCCTAATGGTAATAAAAGTACTAAAAGATTCTCTGACTATAGTTACTCTTAACTAGGTATGAGGTTCAGTATAAAATTGGTACTGTATGATACTTGTGAAGCTATGTATTTTACTCATATTTAGAAAGGAAGTTGTCCCGGCGATAAGGTTTGTATGTGTGTTGTTTGTTCATGTTATATAGACTAGACAAGTTCAGACAGGGTTAATATTAGTGAATATTTACTGGATTTATATTTAATATACATGTTTGGAATATTTTATGGGAATAGTATGGAGATATACAAGTAGTAAAATATAATATTAGTATTTTATAAATTTAATTATTGAGTTATATGTTTATGTCGGACTGTATCCAAGGAGATATTATCCTATTGATATCAAGTTAGGACAATTACTTTAAATATTAATAAAGCAAACACTAACACTGATTATTCACTTCTTTAATAAATTTACATTAGAGGTTAGGAATCAAATAGATAGCATATTGGGAAAATCTTCACCACACATGTATTTGAGGAATGTTCTTGATAATTAGTACTGTATGTATATATTATTGCAAGTACAATTGCAATAAGAATGTTAAACTTCTAATCTTCTGTTCATTCTTGAATTTGAAAGTAAGCTTGGCTACTGATATGAATATAAAACTGTAGCATTACTGGATACTATTAATTATTTCTGGTGTAAACCATGATTATTTATGTCACTGATAATTTAGTTGTATATTACGGTTGATATATGATGATTTTATATTTAGTTATATTAAACAAATACAAATAAACAAACTTGCTAGTATTTGTTACGTTGACAGTTGTGATAGATAATCAAAATTCAATTCAATACATCAATACGTCATTCAATACGTCATTAATGTGACAGATGTCAAACAAAAGGAGATTATACACGTTATGATTCTATATCTAAGTCTATAGAAAATTTATATAATTTTCTGTTATTTTATAATACCTGTAGGGGAAATATTGGAATTATTTATATGAGAAATTTCACTTAAAATGATATGATAATTATTTAAAGACCTAATTTCTTAGGGATTTAATCATGATGATTTAAACACTAAAACACTTGTTTATCTGAGAAATCCTCTTAGTAAATAGGTTTACTAAGACACTAAATGGAAGTAGATATAGTATAACTATAGTACAGCTACAATAATTGTATGGGACTTACTGTCCTTTCTATACAAATATATATTTAATCTATATCTTTCACATTATAATTATGCAATATATTGCCTCTACTACTACAACATACACAAATAGGACTTATTGTCCTTCCTATATACCTATATATAATAATTGACCTGGCACTTTAATGTGTAATTTATCAGTATTTATGACAACAACCAATTAGGACTTATAGTCCTCTCTATAAAGCTACATAATTATTTAATCTGATTATTTCACAATGTGATTAATCAAACCTCTACAAATATTACAAAAAAATCTCTATTACTCTCAACACAATAATAGCTTGTTGGACTTAGTGTCCTCAAACTTATAGAAAACCCAACTGGTTATTTCACGAGACGTTGTTAACTTGTGATTAATCAGTGTCTTTTAAAGGACTTATAGTTCCTTTAGATATATCTCTCTGAATAAATAATTGGTTAATTCACAATGTGGTTAATCAACAATAATATTATATATAATTAACTGGACTTATAGTTCATTCAATAGCACTCATTACTTTTAGTAGCTCTCGACCTATGTGTTGGACTACTCGTTCTTAGGCTCCGGCCTAATCAACAGATTTAACTTGAACCTTGAGTATTCTTGGTATTAAGTAAATAATATTAAATTGACAATGCTATGTTATGATATAGCAATTATCAACATTATATGGCTTGGCCAATTCCAGGGTGTGGAAGGTATCCCCTATCACACAAATCTTCATCTCTATCGGACTGTCTTCACAGGTGATCTCTAATGTCACATTATAGGGCCGAAGGGTTATGTCCCAACAAAGTAAGTTCTGGTGTCTGGGTGATCTCGCTTCTTGGTCTGATCTCTTGTGGAGCCGAAGGGAAACCCCCATTGAGTAAGCTCGTAACAGGGTGACGCTGGGAAACAGTTTCGTACTGTTAGTGGGTGATCTCTATGTCGCCATATAGGACTGAAAGGGTCATCGCCCATGAGTAAGCTCTCGTGTCGGAGTGATCCTGGGATTTCAGTTCCGATCCGTTTGCCTCTGGCAAGCACTAATTTATACTGGAAGCATCGTGGGGCTGGTGGAGCCACTGTAATGTTGAAGTAAATGTACTTATGTTTGGTTTGGAACTGAGAATACTCATTCCCTTATTACCATCAGAGTGCATTAATAAATAGTAATACCCTTCCCTACCTTTTTGGAGGAAGAGTTATAGATAGTTGGAAAGTCTTCCACTGGTCCGGGCGTGTGAGGGGCCCGACCGCTCCCCCATTTTTTTATTATTACAGTTATTCTGTAATTTACTATTAAATTAACATAACTTCCTAGTTACATGAATTATGAGTATAATTCATTAATTATTCTTAATCCTTAAAGATTTATCAATCATCTTTATTATTTAACTCCTATCATATACCAATTAAAGAACCTTTTGGTTATTACACACACAACGGGTCCTACATTACTAGACGATCACACATTTATTTATCTGGCCAGATGATCAAGTGTTCTACTATAAGATCTGTTCAATATTAAGTGTTTATTGTAAGGGTTTATATGATTCATAGGATGTTTGGGGTGTATAAGGCAATATAGGTATGGGATTATATTGAGGATGTTAGGTCATTCTTTAGGGTAGGTTTTCATTAGATTTTCATGGGATTTCATTAGGTAAAGCCTTCGTAGGCTTTTCTTAGGCTTTGTAGGTTTCCATGTGTAGGTTAGTTTTTAGGAGGGTTATTATTATAAGTTCGGCAGTGGACAATTAAAAGCTGATATGATGATGATATGTCAGAAGATCAAAGGAACATTGTACGCATTGACAAGAGATTCTTATAATGACATGAAGATGTAATGGTAACACCGCCTGCTTTATAGGCACATGATGGTAAGGTACCAGTGAATAATGATAGATGAGGATGAAGCAGGTCAGTTGACGGACCATCGTGACGTATTCATCAGGAATCAAATATAATATTTTAGAGAGAGCGCACGATTGAGGCTTAAATTTCTCGATTCTCCTGACGTGATTTAAAAAGAGATTATTGGTAATGGGAGTCTAAGAACTCCATTGCTAGCAATATACCCTATCAAGTCGACCTACATGCAGATTCCCCTGGAAATTATCCTGGTTAATTCTTATTGGGCTTGCTTTCATCTTCGCCTACAATTTTTCACTGGTGCCCCACTAGCCATATACCATAGCACAGGTGGGAAATCCATTTCGTTTTCACAAATTAAAAAACCTGCTAACGTGAGGTTCTATAGACATATGACAAATCAAATATTGTTTACCTGTTCTAAGCTATCGAGCGGCTTGTAGTCTATAAGCTGGGTGAGCTCCTTCTCCACCGACTTCCTGAGCTGGTGCGCCTCCTCACGCGCCTGCGCAAACACCCGCTGCCGCGCCTCTTCCGCCAGTATGGTGTCTATCGACTTGTCGTCAGGATGTTCGCCCATCACCCACACCTGGAATTAAACATAAAAAATCTATGACTACTTTATCTCTTACCATCAAAAATGTGGTGCCAATAAAGCATATACTTTCTCTCTTACTTTCTCTCTTAAACAAGTATACTCGTGATTAGAAAAATATTGATGCCTCATTGAGGAAGATTCGTCATATCACCAATTTATCTCCGTAAGAGAGGAATATTGACCTAATATCATAACCATAGGGTTTAACATAATGTTTTATTTCAAGTTTTGATGTTGATTATTATAGTTCACGCGTTTCCTCTCCTTTCCTCATAAGAATGAAGAATTGTGGTGACATGAGGAAAAAGATTATTAGTAAGGGGACTAGCAGCACCTTGCTAGCAATATAGCCTGTTAAATGGAACTCACATCCGCTTCCAGCTGGAATAAGTCATGATGGGCCAATTGACCTTTCATTCTTTCCTATCATTACTCATTGGTACCCTGGCAGGGAAAAGAGATTGTGTGTAATGTAGACTAGCAAGCCCATTGTTAACAATATACACTATCAGGTCGACCTCCACGCGGATCCCGCTGGAAACCATCATGGTTAATTCTTGTGGGCTAATTGACCTGCTTTTATACTAACCTATAATCTCTCAATGGTGCCCTGCCAGCATACGTATACTGATAGCCCAGGCGGTGTCCACCATTCCATTTTCACCCATTAAAAAATAGATTGACAGTGCAGTCGTGGCTACCATTCTATTATCATTTGAAATTACTACATTGTGAATGATTTGCCAAGTGAATCATTATTTGCTGTCCCTAATAGTACAAAAGACAGCTATCAATCCCGTTTTAAACCTACTAAATAAAGGAGGCATTCACAATTGTAATGACTTTTATTAATTACCGGCACTACGGACGTGGCATTGAACTCGCCAGAACAGATAATACCTATTCTGAGTGCTGACACAAAGGTCCCTTGTGTAGGGTTGCCAAACTTTAAGACCAAACAAAATACTTTCTTGACGATTTAAATTGTATGTAATCTAGGGGCCTACCATGAAATTCCATATTAATGAACACCATTCCGAACTTTCGGACTCAATTTCGTGTTTTTGTTCATACTGAAACTGGTCCAGTAAATGGAGCTTACCATTTCGTTCGTAATAAATGCGGTCAGTTCCACTTGCCCCTACCAACATTTCCCTATTAAAGGGATAAGTCCTTCTATAAAAATCCAAAGGCACGATATTTTAATATTGTTAAACGGTATATATCAAGTATTTTTAATATTTTTGTTTTTCGTTCGGTCCCGAAATTTCGGAAAACATTTTATGGTAGACTTTCTGTACACTGTCACGACAATGGAGTCAATTTTAAAACGCCATTTCTCTAAACCTATCTCTAAAATTAAATATTTGTTATATACTTTGGCCCCTAAAACAGTAATTTAGCGAAATTATCAAATTAAAATATTAGGTTAAGACATACGTTTAGAGGAATTACGTCACAAAATTGGCCCTATTTACTTACTAAGTAACAAGTCAACATTTATAAATTAATACTAAAATGATAGATAGTTGTTAATTAGAAATCACCAAAGTATTTTTACTATTAATTTTATTATTCATTATTTCAACTACATTTTAATACAAAAGTCTTTAAATATCTTTAAACTTTCGACTGTAACAACAATTAATTGCTAAGAGTACTGACATAAAAACAGATAAGAGGGCTATAATAAATAATAATAAATATTCAATATTATGATCAATAAAATATGAATTTTATTGTACAATCTTACAGGCCGCGTATTGATTATCTAACAAAAATAAATAATATGAACTAGTTTAAATACCACTGATTTTCAGAGAATTACGTTATGTCAGTATTAAATTTCACATTCCCATATAATAAATTTAACAATTCATATGTGTTCCAATTGCGGAGGCTATTTAATAATTCCAATAAACATGGTCACCCTACCATGTAAGTTGTTATGGACCATATAAAGAACAAAACCTTCGCTCCATTGTCAATGCTCTTTTAAATCAGCTGAGTCGGTATGTTCTACTTTTGATTTGATGACCATCAATATATGTAGACTTACGTGTTTTATAGGGCAAAAGAAGAAGAGGAAGGTCAAGGAATAATTACATGGGACAGACAAAAGAAACACTAGGTGTCATGTCGTATAGGGAGGTCAAGGATATGGCCTGGGATAGAGTTGGCTGGAAGAAGATGCATGAATTAGTTGCACCGACAAGAGGAAACTTTTAAATGAAAAAAAGAGGTGTTTTATTATTACATTATTAAGAGGTACGTTGAAAACTTTCAGAGTTCACGACAGATGCAATTCTGTTGAGGGGGCGAAAGAAGTTGTTAGGAAAGAGGTCTAACAGACCCTATGCAATATACCCCAACAGGTCGAATTTGACGTGGTTCCCCTGAAAACCTTTGTGGTTGATTCTCGTTGAATTCTCCAAAACTGATGAATTCCATTTTTACCCATAAAAAAAGAAACTCATTAGGTTTTTATGTTACGTGATTATCTTACCAATATTAAACCTATTTTCATAGTTCTTTTAGATAGTTCTGTGTTATTTCCATTTTAATTTTATGATTTTTGAAGATTTACAAGTTTTGTTTACAAGGAACCGTGTGATCACGGCATAGGATACGCCCCTTTCTTTCTTGCGTAGAATGGATAGAGTCTCTCTTAAAACACATCTAATGTTTTACTGCTGTTGCCAACCTTTCTGCCAAGTACTGGCAAAACTCCCCTTATGGGCAAGGCTTATCCTTATTGTAATGGTGAAAGTATTTAATGTGAAAATTCAAACAAGACAATGTTAAGAGATGTTCATCAACTGACATTGAAAGCTTCGACCATTATTTTGCAACAAGATGATTGTCTGAATGCCGATCGTAAAGGTCATATGGGACTTTGTTAATAATACAAGGCTGATATATGACAAAAAATACTTTAACTATCAATTAAATAATAATTAAAGTGTAGATTAACTTGCAAAGTTATAAACCTTTTTTATGCAAATTAGAATAAGCAAAATAAATGATAAATAAATAAGCAAATAATAATAATGACAAATAAGCTGACGGCCCACCTGATGGAAAGTGATAACCATCGCCTATAGACATGAGCAGTGCACTGTTTCGCTTATGATACCCCCCATGCGTTGCCATTCCTGAGGACTAAGGTGTTATGCTTCTGTACCTTGTAAATTCACTGCCATATCCCATCCTTCAAACGAAAACACAGCCATGCAAAGACAACTGCTTTTGCGGTTGAAACACGAATGGAACAGAGGTAGCCAAGGAAACGATTTTTGTAGTTTCCCAGGAACCCGAGTTCCTCCTAATACCAAAATAATACATCTATGCTGTATTAACTAGATTTACTTGAAATGACGTTTGTTAGAGCCCCATACATTTGGAATCTCTGTTAAAACCTCTTAAATTTTTTAAAGAATCCTATGTTGTAATCTCGTAGGGAAATCTTAGCGGTAAGGGAAAATTAACTCACCCAGGGCTCGCCATCTTCGCCCTTGAGAAACTGCACTTGTTTCTTGGAGTTCTTCTGGAATTTGGGCCGCTCGTCGTCTTTGCTCACCTTCTGGTCCCACACTTGCCAGCGGCGGACCTGCAAATTATTTTTTATTTTCTTTATTTCTAGCAACAAGTATATAGACATAGGCTCATATATAAATACCTTATAGACTAACATACGAGTACATACGTACTAATATACATACAAACAAATACCATATCAAAATAGTGGCTCAGGACCGTTTCTTGTGGCAGTCAATGGGGATAGGCCTCCCCATAGACTGCCACAGGTAATGGCTGATATGATGATGATAGGTTATATCCTAACTTAGAACATACGATATTTTATATAGGAATTCATGAAGTACGGCTACTTTTGTAATAATTTTTTTACGTAACAAAACAATGTAAATTACTGGCCAGTGTTACATTTTATAATCCTGGCTTCCTTTACTTGTAAGCGACATTATACCGGTTGTGAGTCATGAGTTTATATTTCCATTATTCCAGGAACGTCAACTAGATGTCAGTATGACTGTAGGGATATCTCTCTCTCACTCTTTCTTCAGTCGTACACTCTTGATAGAGTGAACATCGTTTGCAGGTTAGCGATCATATTGATCACATAACAATTCATAAAATGTCACAAATTTTTATAGGTGACATGATAGAAAAATAAGAATGCAGTGCTATGCTAATTTTTACTGGTACACTAGGCATGCGTCAGGGTGGGATTGGCTAATGGAAGTAATTGGTAACTCGTAAACATTGTATACATGAAACGCAGTTTGGGTACCCATTAATTCTCTGCATGACAGAGTTATGTGTGATTCACCAACTAGCTCAATTATTTCTGCTCTGAAGCAACAATATACATACGCATTGTGTTTCAATTGATAAAGTAAATATTTTTTTACAATACAGAGGGGAAACGAGCATGCGGCTAACCTGATGGTAAGTGACTACCGCCGCCCATTGTCACCCACAACACCAACGGCATTGCAGGTGTGCTGCCGGCCTGTCTAGTTATTTTATTGTCAACATTCTATATGTGGCGCTAAAAATTTTACTGAGCTAATATTATAGGGACCTATATATTATATACCAGAGAGAGACTCTGTATAAAAATCGATTGCTTGGGTACCTCTGTCCCATTCGTGTTTCAACCGTGAAGCAGTTGTGTTTGCATGGCTGTGTTTCAGTTTAAAGGGTGGGATATGGCGTGAGTTTACTGGGTACAGAAGAATAACATCTGAGTCCTCAGGAATGGCAATGCATGGGGGGTATCATGGGCGAAACAATATACTTTGTTATGTCCATGGTACTGCTCATGTCTATAGGCGATGGTTACCACTTTCCATCAGGTGGGCTGTCAGCTTGTTTGCCATTCTAAGTTGTATAAAAAAAAAGTATTAAATGAGGGTTGAGCACTGTTGTCTGAGATACAGGTTTTATAACCTAGTTCAGGTACAGATGTTTAAACTGATCCAAATGTACAAATGAATTCGTATCTACTTTTACTGTAATTTCCAGTGTTGAATTTGTTACAATCATGATTATGCAAATAAAATAAAGTTATTATTATTATTTTATTGTGATAAAAATATAGGATTTGTTTATGCAATATTATATGCTTTCACATGTCTAAATCTCATTTTTATTATCAGATTTATTAATCCTAATTTATTCCTAAAGGACAGGATCTTAATTTCTTGTAGTCTATGGTCTAGTAAAAAATGTCACTAAGATTGTCTATGATTATCTCTTTCCCTTTTGGAGCTTGATCACACAAGCGTGTCTTTGCGATTATATTTCAGTTATTTAGTAAATTATAAAGATATAATGCATTTTGATATTAATAAATCAAATAGTTGTCAATGTGTTTACAAGAAATAAATCAGAAAGTGAATTCAGTTTTCAGTTTCATTTACTAAGTCATCAAAACCACGTTTGCCCACGAAAAGTCTCAGACGGGGTTATATAAGTGAAATGTAATAAATCTAAATTATTAGCATTTACCACAAGTCGTTTTGAGCCTCCCATACTGACATAATGCGTTCTATTAACAATTTAGGACGAAATAAAATGTTGAGTTTCAAGAAAGTCAACATTTTATTTCCAATTTGCACATCTTATTCCTTGGGGATAAATTTAGTGAATTTTAAAAATATCTATTACATATTTCAGTTTTGTCACTGGATAATATTTTAGTACCAACCCCACATTAAAACTGCGTCGCAATGAATCAGTTACAAGATCTGCACGGATTATTCTTGTTATGATGTCAAAATAATTAATGATATTACATTTGTCGTGACTTGATTCTCTTTAGCAAGATTAATAACGGCCATAGGATTAAATTTAAATTTGGAATATTTTGAAGCAGTTAATGTTAATGTTTATCTCTCGTATAATTTTATATTGCATTGTATCATTATATCAGCCTTTAACTGTTGGGCAGTTAAACAAAAGCCTCCCCTTGGGGGATTTGCTACGGTTTGCAGGCGGATTGGCAACCACAATTAGGTCTTGGAGATGTTTTAAGAGGGTCGCTGCTGCCCATCCCTCGCCTCCCCTTAGTCGCCACTAATGACACCCACAGGAAAGGAAGGGGTGGCCCATTCTATGACGGGACCTCACATTGTATTGTATATGATCCGGACAAAATTCCTTTATATTATTAACCGGTTATCAACAGTATTACAGAGTACAGAATAACCCATATTTTGCCCCAACACGCAATTATATGTTTAGTCAACAGGATATGTTTCCGCTTGCTGTCTGTCAAGGCAAATCTCGTCTAATTTAACAACAACTTTTTATTACAGTTTTATTACAGTACCAGTGAGGTACAACACTGTGGATACTGGAAACGGTACAATAATGAATGATAATGATAAAGGAATGTATCATCACATCAACCTTTAACTGTCCACTGCTGTTTTAAGAGGGACGCTGCTGCCCTCCCCTCGTTCTTCCTTAGTCACCTCTCACGGGAAAGGAAGGGGTGGCCTATTCTATGCCGGGACCACACGACCACGAAACGAATGGATTAATTAATTAATATTTACAAAACACATAGTAAATGTATACAGAATGTAAGGGATATTGAAGCTATTATTCTAAACTGAAAACCAATGAAAATAATACGAGATAACATATCATGGACAATATAGTATACTGTGTTATATCCATGGTACTGTTCGTGTCTACCGGCGACGATTACCTCTTTACATCAGTTGAGCCGCGCTTGTTTGCCATTCTCAGTCGTATAAAATAAAATAAAAAAAAAAACAAAAAAAATGTTTGGGAGAACTTTGAAAAAATTTCAATAACACTTTTTAAACTCACTAAAAGAACATCATATATATACAGATGATACAATGTTTACAGTCATGCCTCATTTCATCTGTAATCGAAAGGCAAATTAGATAGACTTATTCTTAAATAAACAAAAAGTACCGTAAAATCTTCGCTATGTGGCAACACTGTGGTAAGCACATTGAGAAGTTCCGACACACTTGAGTGGATACCTAGTTCCGTAAACATAATTAACTTCTTTCGTACGCGGTCATTTTTTATTTAGAAATTATTAATTTAGTAAAGTAATGGAGTGATATTTTTTCTAAAGAAAAATCCACAACAATAGACAAAGATTCACCATAAAGCCCAATGTATTTATTCTTATGGATTTATTATATTGTTTGTCTTACAGCATGATTTTCTAATTGCTCTAAATAACTTTATTAAATCTTTTTAACTTAATTCTTTATATTTACTATAATACCAATATATATTATATTAAAATACAATGATAATTACAATAAAAAAATATATAACAATTCAAACGTAGTAAATACAGTAAGAAATCCACATTCTAGTTCCAGTTTAATCATAGATTAATTTTTTAAAATCAACGAAATGCACTCCCTGAACTTCACAGATTAATGAAATAGTTGAACTGTTTGCTACAGTTTTTTAGAGATAGACACATTATCTAGATTTTTTTATACAACTTAGAATGGCAAACAAGCTGACGACCCACCTAACAGAAAGTGGTAACCGTCATAACAGAGTATACTGTTTCCTCATGATACCCCCCATAGGTTGCCATTCCTGAGGACTCAGGTGTTATTCCTCTGTACCATGTAAATTCATGCCATATCCTACCCTTCAAACAGAAACACAGCCATGCAAACACAGCTGCTACTAGATATTACTATATATTTATGAAATAGATTTATTTTTATTCATGATATATATTTAAGATTAGCTGTATCCAGCGGCTCGACCCGTGTAAATCAATACATAAAATATTCTATGTACTAAGTTAGGATCTAACCTACTTGTATACCAAATTTCATTTAAATCCATTTAGTAGTTTTTGTGTGATAGAGTAATCAACATACATCCATCGTTACAAACATTCGTTATTATTATATTAATAAGATACGATCTTTATACAATATTCTTGCCCAATCTGAATATTTTTCAATCAAAAATATCTATGGTATTGGTGTCATTGTCAATATTTTAAAACATCAGAACATTACTTATTTATATGATCTAAGATTTTAATTCTTTCCTACTAATAAGTAAATAACTTACTTAATGTAAACTGTTTATAAAAAGAATAGAAAATCTATTGATGTAATGACAACATTCTAGTGATAGCATTCGTTGAATGCCAACAGTTCGATAAGCATTATGTACTACGGTATATTCTTAATTATAACAGAAGCGGATGCAATAGCTATGTATTGATTATGAACCTTTCACTTATTGTCCATTATATTATTACTGATAAATTCATTACACGATACATACTTATTTCTATTTAACAAAAGTAGTATTATAAAACAGTAAGTTTTTACGTAATCTAATCAGTATTTCATATGTAATCGATTTCAAACTCTTTTCTGGTTTTCATGAGCTTATAGGGAGGGGGGGGGCATGATGAATTGTTAAAAATGGGGATTAGTAGCCTCATTGTTAGCAATACAAGGATGTATGCTCGTGTATGTGCAGAATCCCATTACTAGCAATATACCCAACCAGGTCGACCTCCTCGCGGTTCCCCCTGGAAACTGTCGTGTTCTATTCCAAGTGAATTCACGACGATAGGTTAACTGACCTGCCTTTTCATTGTCACCTATCATCCCTCACTGGTGCCACGCCAGCGTATACCTTTAGCGCAAGCGGGGTTACCATTTATTATC